ACTGTCTCAGCATAAATACATGGGGCAGGGCCTAGCTCCTGCCCCAAATAATGTGACTTTATTGATCTCCCATGATAGGCCTCACCCTCCCTGGGGAGCGGATGGGGGGGGTGGGATGAGGAGTTGGTGGAGAATGGGAGGAAGGAGGGAGAGGGCCCTGGAACTGATATGTAAAATAAGATTGTTTTTAATGTAAATAAAAATTAATGAAAAAAGAAAGGGAAGAGTAGGTGGTCTCTGCATGAAGTTCTTATTTCATTGTAGTTGGGATCATGGGAATAGGAAAGAAACACTGAAGAAATAATCAACTGAACAAGAAAAGCTCAGAACACGGTAAAATACAGAGGAAATAAAGTGAGAATGTGATAGGGAATAACATTCTTAGGATGTTCAGGAATGGAGCAATGAAGCAATTGGTCACTGGAAACTGGGATTCTAGCTTATCCATCACCCTTCCTACACAGGGGTAGACGCCAAGAGCCCAACAGCCTTACTTTATCCTCTAGACAATAGGCTTAAGGACAGATGTTGGGTGTCATGACTTACTGACCAAAAAATAGATTGGGGTTAGGATTTAAAGATGCAGCATTATACTTTGTAGTAGTGGTATTTTCTCAATAAAATCAAATGTTACAGAAGTCACATTTTTAAAAATTCTACTTAGACAGTAATTCGGACTCCTTTTTAAAAAATGCTTTATATGTATGGGTTTTGTCTGCATGTATCTCTGTGTGTCTGTGTACCATGTGTGTACTGCCTGGTGTCCTAGGATGCTAGAAGAATTCATCGGATATCCTGGAACTGGAGTTATAGATGGTTGTGAGTTGTCATGCACATTCTGAGAACTGAACCCTGGCCTTCCGGAAGAGCAGTAAGTACTCTTAACCACCGAGCTATCTTTTCATAATTTGAATTCTTAAAATTAAAAATATTCTAATATTTCTATTTTTATTCCTTCTGAAATCATTGACATTTCAGAATTAGTTTGTGTGTACAAGTGATAAATACTCATTAATTTGTCTCCATCCTCAGAGAGGCATTTCAGACTCGTTTACCACACTTGGTGCAGGGTTTGTTTGCTTGGGTTTCTAGGATGTAGCCTTATGTCATGTCTGCCATTTGCTTTGAGATCTTTTGGTGCATAATTCTCTAAATGGGATTTTTGTTCTTGCAAAAATGTGGATACGTGATTACTAGAAGCTTAAAAATGTGTTTTTGCACATTTCTTGCCCCCCCCCCTTAGCTTCATCATCTGTACTAATGGAGAGGGAGGGCAGTCTAATGAAGACAATTCACCACAGACTCTTAGAAAAAAAAATAAACTTGATTCTGGAGCATCACAAATTATAGACTCTCAGAAATGGAAAGGACACAGAAAGGTCATCTGCTTTGTCTTTCTTCACTGTGACAGGTTTGTGCTTCTCATTACAGCTGGGTGAATATCTATCCTAATTCTGAAGACATCCTGGGAAGATGATCTCCACAGCTCTGTCCTTATCACTAATGTGAAATATCCATCACCATGGAGGCTCTGTCTAAAGGGCACCTAATTTCCTCATACAGAAGTTTATTCCCATTTCCTCTAAATGTGTCTTCATTGATGCCCGCTGAAGATTCCGGTTAACCAACTACTTCCAAGACAGGATTAAAAGAGATAGCAGAGTTATAGAACTCTTAGAATAGTATCTGGCACACAGTGTGCTCTCAAAGTTTGTCAACTGCCACAGCAGTAATCATTACTTTGGGGAAGGTCTCGAGATCTTTGTTACTTCTAGTGATAAAAACACTTTAAATGCTCTATGGGTTAGCTTCTCTGATTACCTGAGGTGGTTGATTTGTCTGTATCTTGAGTTAGTGGAATGCATACTCAGAGGTGACATGAGGAAGGACAGGGGACTAAATGGCATGGAATAACTGTATTGACTTTTGCTTTTCCCGTAATGTTACCTGTGAGCTCTTTGATGGCAGGCTCCTCATGTTACAAGTTTTAGGTCTCTAGTATTAAGTGTGAGACTAGTACTCAGCACTAAAAGATGTAACATGAGTTAATTGAATATTGACTGTTCTAAGAATTACTTAACAAAACATTGGTAAGTTGTGTGAATGTTATTTCTACCTTCCTGTATAGTGACAGCAATAAAAAAATTGTCTGTGAACATACCACTGTTTTTCTGATTACCTTTCTTTTTCAACCTCTCCCATTCTCTCTCTTGCAGTTCCCCTCTGAAGGTTCTACCCACCATCCAGACTATGTGTGTGTGTGTTATAGGCACATGGCTTGAACTACATTGAGCACTGTGAAGAGTTCTGATAACCCTGCTCTCTGCTGATGCTTTCTGACATCACTGTGTGCCCTGAGAAACCACAGAGCTCAGTCATAGGAGGGGACACATGTTTCAGCCAATCAGAGGCACCCATGTAACTTCAATAGACCGCTTTCCTAGTTAACTTCTAATGCATTGGCTAGAAATGCTGACAATCTTTATCTCTGAGAAGACATTCAATGGGGCCATCAGGACTAAGAGAGCCTGGGGATGAAGTGAAGAATGTGCTCTGCTTTGGCTCTAGCAACATCTGCTATTCTTTATGCAACATCTGCTGTTCTGTACCCATCTGAGTCATGCTGGTAAACCCATCTGTTTACACGAGGTTGAATATGGGGGAAGGTGGAGAAGGGAGGGAAAAATCCTATTTTAGAGCCATGCTTCCCACCTCCATCTTTTTTGTTTCCCAAATCGTGCCCCATACAACTTATTTTCTAAGGTTGAGGAGGAGTGGGGAATGAATAGGGTGGATGGGAGCATTGAGAAGAAACACATCTCTAGTGAAAATTTTTTATTTAACCAGGTTTTGCTCCATTTCTCCTAGGTAGAGCTCTAAGAGTGGATGACCTCCTACTCATTTTTTTTCTTAATCTGTTTTCCCTGAATCTTAAAAAAAAAAGAATTCTGAAGAATGTGGTGAACAGAATAAAGAAGTTTACTGGGAGATTTATAATTTCCTAATGTGAACAGATCACCCACTTTGGGGGCAACCCTAGAGGATGACTATAGTGGTTTGAAAGAAAATTGTTCCTAAAGGGAGTGGCACTATTAGAATGTGACTTGCGGAAGTAGGTGTGGTCTTGCTGGAGGAAGTGTGTCACTGTGGGGGCTGGTTTTGAGGTCTCTTTTACTCTGGTTTCTTTCAGTGTGACTGTCAGTTGACTTCATGTTGCCTGAAAGATGGAGCTCCAGCACCACATGTACACTCCCTGTCATGATGGTAATGGACTGAAACCCTGAAACTGTAAACAAGCCTCCCCAATTAAATATTTTCATTTATAAGAGTTGCCGTGGCCATTGTGTCTCTTCACAGCAATAAAAACCCAAACTAAGATAATGACTATAAGTACTTTATCCAGATACTTTGGTTGGTATTATCCAATTTGGAGGATGTTGGTATTGTAGGCTTTTTAGGGGCCCCTGTTTCCTCTATCTGTGACACTGAACCTCAAAAGAACATCACTCATCTGTTTTCTTTCCAATTCCTAGAATCTGGTACTGAATCACTCTACACCAGCTCCAACCCCTCATGTTCACACACACGAGCTTTTTCTTCTTTTATATCAAGTGGCAACTATGGTGGCATCTACTCATGTGTGCTGTCCTTTGTTATTTCAGGAAGAAAGTGTGGATGTTTCTGAGCTAGAAAGGTAGAGGGATGATGGAGGGGAGTTCAAGCCCAAAACTACCTCCCTTACTATCACTCTTCTCTCCTCTCTTCCTAGTGCAGAAGGAGTCTGGGGAGACCAGGCTCTATATAGTCATGTTTGAGCTGGAGGCACAAGTCCACTGGTGATATTTTACTTAAAGTTTATAGCTATCTTATTGATGTAATATGCACAAGTACCTGGCAAGAGCAGGGCCACTTTGCTGTGGAGATTGCAGTTTCTCAGAAGGCATCTTGAAACTTTTAGGTTATTAAGCACTAGTTTTTAAGATGAAAGACCCTAATGTGCTTCCCAAACACTGTCTTAGCAAACAAAACAAAGTCCTTTTCTCTGATGGAAAGGCAGCACAGCAAAGTGAGATACAGCACGGCAGAAATGGTCAGGGGCCTCAGTGCACATGACACTTGGGTTCAAACCCTGGCTTTCCTAGCTCCGTGACCTTACACAAGGAACTTAACTTCTTTCTGCTTTGACTTCCTTGTCTGTAAAATGGGGATGATGATAATACAGTATGAAGAATATGAGCAAATGAATGTATGATAAGCACTATGTAAATCTTTTGTTCCATTAACTTCTTGTTTTGGAGGATCTGAATAGGTGGGAAATTCCATCGTTTACCTAACTGATGGAAATATAAGGCATCCCCTTCAAAACTAAGAATTTCAAGATGACACCAGTAGGTGTCATTTCGGTGCAGATGTGTGTGGGGTTGTTTTCTGAAGGGTTGCACTTATATGGAGTAATACAGGTCACATACCCATGAAGCGGGTGCTGGGTCCAGAGGGAAGGTTTGGTTTACCTGTAGGGACTGTTCTGAGTTGACTACGGGATAACAGTGGGAGACTATCTCAATGACTTTTGGTTATCTTACCCCAGAGTTTTTCAGGGTTGTCTGCATTACATTATATTTAAAAGAAATTAAAGTGTGTGTGGGTTCTGGAAACTAAACTTGGGTCCACTGCTAGAGCAGGAAGCACTCTTAACTGCTGAGCCATTTCTCCAGGACCTGTACTGGAGTTTTTAAAAAGTATAAAGCAAGTGACGTTTGCCTGTCATCTCTGTAAAAGGATTGCTTTGAAAACATGAGTACAGTTTTTTCCTTTCGGTGGCAGAGGATCCAACCCCCATTCCCCAGGACTCAAGAGCTTCCCCACACTTTCTAAAAACTACCTGCCTAAAGTATCAACAATGATGTGTCAGGCTACCATGGGCCGCTGGGGAGGGGCAGCATGTGTGCCATGTTTAATGTCGCAGTGGTTTCATGCAGAGAACTGAAATGACACAGATGAATCATTTGCACATTTATTTTCTATCTCACGTATTCTACCAGACTGAAATGGAGAACAATGCTGGCAATTTTATAGACATTTTGACACAAAAGAAACAAGTATTTTGATGTTGAACAATTGTATAGACTACTACATGCAGAGAAGTATGCTGATTGGTGCAGAATTACTGAGCTGATGAGCAAAACTATAAGTACAAAAATCATGTTTTTTTTTCTATGTACCTAAAATGCAGCAAATACAGGGACACAGATACAAACACCATTAAATGGGAGAGAAAGGCATTGTATTAATGGTGCAGGATGGACGGCCAAACAAACACGCATATGCTAAACCACATCCTCTTTACGGAACTGAAACAAACATTTCATTTGCAGATACAATGGAATAAAGTATGTCGAGGCAGATGAATGAGACTAGACAAGACTTAGTCACTTATACATATGCTTTAGCCTCTAGAGAGAATCTGTATTGAAAGTCAACAGAGTATAGGGTGGAATGCAGTTATTACATGAGGAGACAGGACAGGGTCACTCACTTGGGAACTCTTAAAACAAAATACTGATTGTGCTTCTTTTTCCCTGCAGCATTCAGAGCTTTTATAGACTAGTGTGAAAACCCCCTAAGACACTGATGTCAGAAAAAGGAATGAAGTACCATGCACTGCAGCTGCAATCCTAATGCCGTGTGTATCTCCAAGATAGCAAGTTGTTTTAATTAATATATATGTATAGAAGCATTGAAAGAACTACTCATTTAATATTTAATATCTGATACTTAGACTCCTTAGATTTAAAAATATTTTTGAGTATTTGTAGCTTGGGGGATGTTTAGGGATTTCATTACAACAAGTAAAATATCTATAATGAGAGAAAAAGAACAGGTTGCATATTAATATATTTTATAGAGAAATCATTCAGGATTACCCTGAACAAGACCTTTTGTATTCATTAGTTACTGACAGTACTAAACACCTTCATCAGCAGTTTTCAGAAAATTAATATGAGTCTTTACATAGTTGTCTTGAGTTTAACAATAAGCTTATAATCCTAGCATTAAATTTTGAACTAATGACTTTGACAAGTTAAACAATTAAAATGAAAAAAATATGACTTTGGTAAACCAGAGTGGGGAAACCCAGTAGACAATTTAGGATCCCTTTCTGATCCTACACACGCGACTGCCTGTGTATGTACACCTCCCAAAGCCAGTCACTTTCTCATAAACATGCACTATAAGCATTAACTCCCCATTTAACACTTCCTTTGTGTGCCCTGCTGGTTTTTTCTTCTCCATTTTCTCCTATTTCCCCTTTTACTTGCTTCCCACTTTCCCCAAATACTGGAACCTCAGTGTTCATAATCATTAATTTTGTAGGTATCCAAACTTTGTTTTTCTTAGTTTTCTGATGCTGGGGTTTGAGTCCACATCCTTGCATGCACAGGCCAAGCACTCCAACACCGAGTGTCCCCACATTCAGTATTTTGGAATACTAGGCTGTAATAGCTGCATCACTTCTGAGGATAGTACAAATCTTTGACCAGTTGTAACAGCCAATGTTAGGCAGGTCAAATCTCACCATGGTACCATCCTTATATTTTACACATAATAGTGATGAGAGACACCATTTGAGACAGGCCTACATTGACGACTGAAGAGAATTTGAGTGATGTATATGGGAAAGTTAGTAGATATTTTTCTTTGTTAGTTGGCAGACTTTTAAAACTAAATTACTCGACATAGTTTGATCATGTAGATATGACACAGTGCTTCAGCATTTGTGGTAAAGAATGCAGGGATGAAGATGATTTGCACAGTGTGCCGTTTGAACTACAGTGTTGTTGTCTTGCATCAGACTTTGTAGACTTGATGCTTAGTAAGCAGTTTACAACTGTGTTTGTATCATGGCCTATGTACATGACACCACAGCTGTTGGCATAGTAAGATGAAACGATGACAGTGGCAGCTTCAGAGTGCAGCAGACACAAGACAGTCGACATGGAAGTTTTGCACAAACTATATGCAGACAGGTATCAGTACACTTAGAGCTGGTTGGGCAGCATAATCTTCTGTCAGAATACTATTTAATAAACTAGGAACTTTATTGTTTTGAGAAAACAGAGGTATACAGTCTCCATTAGGCCATAACTAAATAGTAGGAGCTAATTGTCATGCAATTATGACTTAGAACGTGAATTATTTTTTAAGAATTATAATGAATTGAAAGTCCAAACCAAGTAGTGTGTTATATTAAGATTTTCACAAAATTGCTAAGCAACCCCCAAAAGAGCTGCCCTCTCCCTCAAACCAAACATATTTAAAATAATCTTCCCAAGCCAATTAAGCAAATGAAAATTCATTAAAACTTAAGTATGGTTTTCATTTTTTTCTAGTGATAGCTACTAGATTCTCTGAGAAGAAAGTTTTAATGCATCTTGGAAATTCTTTTGTGGATTCAACAGAAGAAGTCCCAGTTTAGCTTGTCTGTAATATCAGAGTCGCCTCACCCTGTTTCCACAGTGGTCAGCCTGCTTTGGCTGGAGTTGCTGCAGTGGTGTCAAGACTGAGTGTGAAGGGTGTTGTCTTATATGTAGTCCCCTGGTCACCACTCGTCATCACAAGATATGGGCATTCATCTCAGTTTCATTGCCCCGAATTTTAAACACACTGTCATGAAAAATTAGCTCCCCCTGAGTCCCCTTTCTTGATCAGTGAGATTAACCTTAAAATACAGCAAAACAAAAGTCTCCAGTGAAATCCACTGATGAAAATTTGTGCTTTAGGTTTTCAAGACCAAAAATTTAATGAGGAAAAATTTAATGACAAAGCCTTTGTACTTATAATATAGTTGGCAAAGGGTCAGTTACTATAACTGTGGAACCAAATTGGCTATGAATCACTCCATGAAATGGATCCACATGTTTGCAAATATTTGAAACAGGTAGATGGCCCACCATGTTGAATGTTCCCATGATGATGATGATGATGATGATGATACAGTTTAAACTTGTGGTAACAGAAACAATACAAAATACTATCCAAATAGACAGTGTATTGAAATCATTGTAGGAAGCTGTTCTCCTCAAGAAGAAATTGAGACTTGCAAACTGAACACTAAAACTTTAAGGCAATTAGGTTGAAAATGTACCACTAGTTTTCATACCATGTTATTTGTTAAAATAATATCATTCTTGAAAGCCACATAGGGTACCTATATGTTTATAACTTAGCAAATAAAATGACCTATATTTTATATTACAGTGGATTTTACTTAAACACATATTAAAATTTTTTGGATGTTCAGGAAGCTACAAAAGGATTTGAGAACTCATTTTTGAGAACACAAATGTGACTTGAACCTCTTCCTTTGGAATTCTGATTTTAAGACACACGCCTTCTATTTGTCCAGCAGTATGCTTAGTGTTTTCCTACATTCCATTTCATTTAAGTTACAATAGAAATTTACATATTATAATAAAAATAAGTAGTATTTATTTCACATGGTAACTTAAAGATGTTTTTTACATAGAAGAAAAATTTAAAATCCTAATTCAAATATGAATTGTTTATGACTACGTGATTGTCAAAGTATGAGTTTTTCATTATGGCTTTCTTTCCACCCTAGTATCTTTTGCTAAGGTTTTGTATGAATGGCTATTAGAATTTTGTCCCCTATCTACATGAAAACTTACCAGAATATCAGTTTTCCCTGACTGAAATGTCTGTTACTATAGAAAACTAGAAAGATGACACTGGTATCTTCCTTTGGGATATTGCTTTGAAAACAGACACACTCATGAGCTTCCCACACAATTAGTAGAAAAGCTTGCATTTGAAATGGTTGCCTTGGGATACACAAATGAATTTGGTTCCATCTTTCTAAAAAAACCTAGTTATTTCCTTTCTAGTTTTCCATCGTGGTGAAAACTTGAATACACTGTATTTGACCTACTGGTGCAGCTCAGCCATAGACGTAATACATAGCAGGAGTGATTGCCTGGACTTGACTCACAGTACCACCTGAACTGTATTTTTGGTCACGCACGGGGAAAGAACGATGTCAAATCATGTTATTCTCCTGTTCTGGGACAGTTCCCTTTAGCCTCTAAGTTTTCTGAAACCCTCCTTCTGGCTTTAGGCTTCAAGTTGTTATTGCTAATGGCCCACTTGCTCTTGCTTGTGACTTGGTACCTGTGAGCTCTAAGCAGGTGGGCCCTAGGGAAGGACACCTGGCATGTACTACAGACAGAAGAGGAGTGAAAAACTGGAGGGAGAAGGATGTGAGATGTGATCACAAGACTGTTCTCACAACCAAGACAGCAAAGCCTGGAAAGGGAAGTGGGGGAATCAAGGACAGTGAAGGCCATATGGTTGCCCACATACTCCAGGAACAGTAAGTTGCCCAATAATTTATACCTTTAAACCCTCTTCTATGAATACTCCCTTCTTCAAAGAGAACAGAACAAGCAAGCAAACAACATATAAGCAACAGTTGAAAATAAAGTATTTCAATGAAAGCAAGGTGCTAAGAGCTTGCATAGCTATTCTGTCGTGAAATTAAAGGCTGTTAAAATGCTTCACTCTGCTAATGGCACCTCATATTTGCTTAATAGAGCCTTTCTACACATTCACTTTTGAATTTTTTATGGTTTAATATATACCTCTTTAAAATTGCATAAGTTTGGAACTTGATTATTGTGTGATAAACCTAATGTTTTGTGAGTTGCAGACTTTTCTTTTTCTTTCTTTGATTTTGAGATGAATACAAAGGATTTCAATTATCCTTCCTGAAATTTTAGTAGTATATGCATTTTTATTAATTATTTCTGGTGACAGCATTCCCGTTGAGTAAGTAATTTGGGTTAATAATGGTAATATTGCCTTTTTATGTCTGTTTTTCTTTAAAAATACTTTCAACTTTAGTCAAATATAGTGATTTGTATAAAACTTACAGGCAAAAGATCCCAAAAACCAAAAAGCAAACAAACAAACAAAACATAGCCCATATTTCCAAGTAAAAATTCCAGCTGTATTTTGCCTTAATGATGGGTGAGCAATTTGACTATAGCAGGATTTCTGGCTAGCACAACTGATGTCTATGGGAACTTTAGAAGACATTCCTTTCTCTAACAGGATCAATCCAGGGGGTATGTCACACTCTATTCATGGTCTCCAAGTAGATGCTATCAGAGTAGGAGCTGTTGAGAAGGCCAACAAGGCAGTATTGTCTTTACACCATGACTGGTAACCACCCCCTCCCGCCATTTTCAGTTTTTGCCTAGTTTCCCATAGTGGCAAAAACGTCAAAGTGATGCACACTGTATAGCTAGAGTAAAGATATATAGCACTAATCAAGATGTAGCAAAATTTGCAGGTTTTTGTTGGTGTGTGTGTGTGTGTGTGTGTGTTTTACAGGCAGCAGTCAAGGCGCCCTGAGAATGTAGTGCAGAGAGTAGCAAACTAAAAGGGACAATAAAAAGAAAAAGGAGATGTGATCACAGAAATGTCTGGAACCTGGTTGTTTCTGACTGCATCCAGGGGACATGGACATAAAAAGTGGTAGAGAACTTGTCCTTACTCCTGGTCACCAGCCACCTTTTCTGTGCCAATAGGATCCCACCTTTTGTGGAACATATGGAATTGGGAAGGAATAGCGGTGGGGACCCAGGGGAGGGATTGAAGGGACAGGAATACGGGTTGGGCTTGACCATTACATCTATGTACAAATTCTCACAGAATTCACCTTTTCTTGCGTTGAGCACTAGAAGGCATCTAAGGTAGAGAATAAACATAGAAGGATGGTTATTATGATACACCTTTGGGTCTTCACCTCGGGGTGTCAGGGTTCTGTGTCTTCATTCTGAAAGGCTGTTGTTTTGACGTGATATGCCACCTCAAATCTATTTCAGATCCAGTAACATGAAAAATAACTATAAAAAAACTCTCCAGCCATATCTTTGTCAGCAGGTAAGGATGTGAATGGACTCAGACCAGCAGTAGGATTTTTACCAAGCAGTACATTGTGTTGGCTTAAATGGAGGCTAGTGTTGCAAATACAAAACATAATAGTTACAAATGATCACTTCATAGGTAGCTGAGACAGGAGGACTGTGATTCTGAGGCCAACCTGGGCTACCTACAGAGAGCTCCTATCTTTTAAAACCAGTTTTATTAATAAACATGATTTATCTTTAATATTTTCTTTCATTCACCTTTCTTTTTCTCTTTTGAAGTAGAAATATCTTCATACACTTTTATTAATATCAGGCAGCTATTGTAATTTTAAGCCATGGTGGAATTTGGATACTAGATTAAAGAATGAAAATAAACACCTTGAGTCTAAGGGTACAGCAAAGGACTTTTGAGATCTCAGACAACAGATTCAGATACCTTGTGATGCTCTTTCAAGCTCACTCTGTAAAACTGGATTTCACACGGAACACAATCACTTAAATATGAAGCATCTGCTGGACTGTAAGCTGGAAGGCATCGATGTTTGTGCTTGTTAACTCGGGCAATTATTGATTATAGGGAAAGTTTTATTATGTGCCAACAGTAATTTAGAATTGTTTGGTGATAAGAAATAACTTCTTTAGGAGAGGAAGTAAAGTGGAAACTATGGCCTGATTCTCTTCTTCATGTATCTCCTAAGTACCTACGTTTCATACACGTGTATTTGTGTAAGTACAACATTTATGCAGGTATATACAACAAATTAAGAATACACTAATTACTTGATTTAAAAAATCTTTTGTATTTTGTCTTTTTCTGGTGTTGAAACAACTTATTATACCTTTTTCTCTCTATGGTTTTTCTCTCTATATATAAAATAACCTTTTAGACTTACTAAGGAAGGTAATGCACTTAAATGACAGTGGTAAGGATTCATGGAATTGAATCAGGTTATTTTACAAAGGCAAGTGAAAGAAATTACTGTTGAAACCACCAAAGGATTGCAGTGTTAACTAGAGTGTGTACGGGCTGCTCACTTTGATATGTAGACCAGGCTGGCCTTGAACTCATGAGTGTAAGGACTCATGTGCACACTACCATGTTGGGCTTCTGCTGCTTCCCTTCCTCTTCTTTCTTTTCTTCCTCCTCCTTTTGGGATAGGGTCTCCCTAGATTAGCCAGGCTAATCTGAAGTTCCCTGTGTAGCAACAACTGTGCTTAAACTCCCAGCCTTCCCATTTCAACAATAAAGACATGTGCCACCAAATCCATTTCTCTTTTCTCATATGTGTTTTCCTTTATTTCCTTATTTTTTTGTGCTACTTTGAGGAAGACATGGCAGTGGCAAAATAACCAATATACTTTCAAATCTCTATGAACCTAGTGATTAAATTCTTTGAGTCAAGCTGCAGGACTTTTGAATGCTGACTTTTAAATGTTAGGAATTTAGAAGATTAAGTAGAGAATAATGTTATATCCTGTAATGTTGCTAAGAGACTGCAGGAAGAAAAACACTTAAATGCTCCATTTTAAAATTTATTCATGAATGTAAATTTTTTCAATCCTTTCCCACTAGTACTAAATTTTTCTCTAGTTACTTGTGATAGACTATTATTAGCTATTTTGATAAGAAATATATCTCATTAAAATATTTTTTTTGTACTGGGGATCCAACCAAGAGCCTCATGCAGGCAAGTGTTCTACCGCAGAGGTACATTCCCAACCATAAAATATTAATTTTTAATTTACCAGATAACAAAGATAGTTCAGGATCTCACTCAATCAGATTAACAATTTGTTATTTCAAGTATAAAAACTAAACACGATTCAAGCATAATTATAAGTTTGGCTTTATGCACTTCATTTATTTCTTAGGAAAATGGTTCTTTGGGAAAGTAATATAATTTATTTATGTTCTATAGTTCTCTGATGAGATCACTAGGTGATTATCTTTTCAGCCTGACAGGTGACCTTTTGGCAGTAACCTCAAGTATCTTCCCCTCCGTATCAGTGGTGTAGCCGAAAGTGTCAGGAAGCTGTGTGAGGTTAAGAGTTGTACCATTGCTCATGCTACTGTGATTGGCATGGAAGAGGAAGGGTCCACCTAGTATCATCTGATTGAGTAAACAGCAGCACAGTGACTGAATTTAATAAATGATGTGTTTTACTTTAGATTGGAGGTGACTTTAGCTCTGTCTGCTTTTGGGTAAGATCAACGGCTTTCTGCATCCTTCTGCTTCATGTGTGTGACATATCACGTTGCAAACATGAGGCTTTCTTCTTAGCTAAGGAATATCTATAATATGTCCAGAATTCCCAGTTGGTTAATATAAGTGCCCAATTTGGCTCATCAAAATTGTTAGTCTTTTACCATCCCACAGGTTTTCTTGCTACTAAAAATATCATTTCATGTTATCAATATGATTTCTGTTTATTTACATAATTTAGACATTGATGGGAGAAACTGTTTGAATAGCTTTCTAGTGGTATATTAGGATGCCAGTCAGATGATGTGCCTGAGGTCAGGGTCTACCACTTACCAGTGATCTACGCGGGACCCGGCAAAGAACAGGCTTCTTTTGTCATTTACTGATAATTCTGAAAGCTGTTGAGAGAGAAGGAACTGTGAAGTAGTCTACGTGTCTAAGCCTTCCCCCACCCCCCCATTTCTAATCTGAAGAAAAAAAAATAAAGTGTTAAATTTTCATGGCCAGTGTGAGAGTAAGAATGTTGTCAAGAAAATATGGAAACAGACATTGGGCGCATACTCTCTTTGCTACCAGATCTAGTCTCATCATGATAGTGCTTGATCATGTCTTACTTCAAAGCAGTAGGCTGTGTCAGAGTGAGGGAATTTCTAGAGGAATGATGAGACAACAATTAAGTCACTTTCAGGGAACCGCTAGGTATATGTGTGGACCAACTCAAGGTATTTCTTCCTTTCTTACTCTGTTCCTTTTTCTTCTGCAGTGTTGGGGATTAAACAGGTTGCCATGCATGCTAGGCAGGTCCTTTTCCCATTGGTCTCCATCCAGAACTCAATGCACATCATATCTATGCTCTTATGTTTGAGATAAAAAACTTCTTGGGGGCAATTTATGCTGGTTAAGAGAGCCAGGAGAAACAGCCTAGCTATTTGAGGGACCATGCTCTTTTGAGGCCATTCAAATAGTCTTTTTCATTGGCCATTTCTTCCTGGCCACTGAGCTAGCTAATGGTGAAATGAACTCTTAGAAGTATAGCCTTCCAATAGCCCATTCAGGCAGTCCTTTCTAAATGTTTGTGGTGTTTTTCAAGGGATGGGAAAGAGGTATTTGAAGTCATATGATTGTCAGTTTTACTGTTGATGAGTAATATAAAACAGCATTTAAAAAATACTGAAACAGATATATCGTGGGGTATGTTGCAGTGCGGACATGAACTTTTAATGTAGAACATAAGAGACTTCGAAAGAATTCCACACTTGATAGGTGTATCCATGTCTTTCCAGGCAGACACGTTCTCCTCTGAATTAGATGCCATTTGCTGAAGTTTAGAAAGGCTTCACAAGTGCATTCCAGGAGATACCTCCATGTGAAACAGCAAAGTCAAAGATTCCTGGAGGAAAATTTTCTGTTTTTTTTCTCTTAGCTGAAGACTTTCAATCAGAGGAACACAAAAGATGAGATTTCCAAGGGATGTTTTTGTTTGTTTTTAAATTCTTGAAAACTTACAAACAGAAATCTTCCTAACAAACCATTAGAAAGACAGGGAGAGACTCTAGGAAAAATGCTTCCAGGGAAAACAACAGAAACTTTTAGACTGGATAAGGGTTCTGAACCTAAGTGTTATGGAAGGGGGTTCTCAGTAAAAGTCCAGACAGACACACAAAGAGTGGGACACTGGTCATATGGCAGGGCAATAAGTCCACTTATGAAGCCAGATGAATAAAAAAAATAGAGATTCACTGTAGGAGACATTAGAAAATAACTGCTTCATGAGGCTGTATGAAGAAAATGATCTTCCTAACTTATTTGCTATTCATCTAACAATAGATATACCTGCTTGACTTTGAAAAACTATATATAGAAAATTCAAATACTCTAGATTTACAAAACCTTATCAATATGTGGTCTTTAGACACTAAAAGAAGTATGCATAATATAAATATCAGTGACTAATTACTATAAACTCTTAAAGGTTATGTTATGAAACAAAACCATAAAAACCAAAAAACATGAAAACCATTAAGAAATTCTAAGCACAATGGGATAGAAGAAATATTTTAAATTAGTTTTTAGCATCAGGACCATTTTTATTTTCTTATCTGAGATTTAATGACCAGAGACTATTAGCTAAGAAATATTAAAGACATATTAGATTTTAAATATTGGGATCTTTTACCTGAATGGTTTTCCTAAAAAAAAAGAACAAAATTTAGATTTTTCCCCTTAAACACCAAACTTTGCTTTTAGTTTGTCCTGTTAGCTTTCTCAATTCCCTGAACTGTACTTACACATGCACAAAATACATTTTTGCTGAGGCAAAACCTGAGCATTGCCAGGAAACTAGAAATCATTAATTTGAAATCATAAGGGGGCCTTGGAATAACTTGGTGTTTTTTTATTTATTTGGATACAAGTGAGATCACGAGAGGTTGTAGAGTCACTCTGGAGACTGCATGGCTGGTAGCTGCTCCGTGGTAACTAGAACTTTCCTTTACACAAAGCAAGGTGAGTTCAAGGGCAACCTCCAATGCCCAATGCTTTTGTCTTCAGTGTGTTCCATTAGAAAGTGCCAGAAGTGACCCTCAGCAGGGAAGTCCTGACCTCTTCTAGGGGGTTCTGCGGTTGGAAGCTTGAGAGAGCCTGCCCAGTTGCTGCATATACTGAGAGTGCTCTTGCCATGCATGGGAAGGATTCAAAGTCTGAAAAAAAAAAAAAAGAAAAGAAAAATCCTTCTATGACTGGTAGTGTCATCTTATACCTCTGTCCTATACTGAGAAGTATTTAGTGCTGCATTTCCAGACCTGGGATCCTAGCACAGTAGTTCATTTGGGGTTCAGCTCTGTCAGTTAAGGGTGCTCTACTTTTATTTTTCCAAGAGTCATTTTGTGGAATTTCCATTTTAACAGATCTTAACTTGTATGTTGGACAGCAGAGGAGAATACAGCCATGTATGCAGTGCCAAAAGAAATCATTTTAAAGATGATTTCCAAATGTGGGATACTAATTTAATTTTTAAAAATTTTATGATAGAACCCTCTATACATTTTCAAGTTTATGAAAATGAATTTCTATAATAGTCTATGACATGGTATTTAATTTATAGGCAAATATTCAAGCTTAAATTCCAAATACTTGATATCTGGTCATTAAATCTTACTAATTTCCATGATTTATAAATAACACCACAAATGCAACAGCAAAAGCAAAAGAAAAAGGGAAAATAATGCCCTCTGAATTTTATTCCAAATAAATAAAAATACATATAAACATACCCTCTGAATTATATCCCAAATAAATAAAAATACTGTATGCCTCTAAACAAACATAAGAGCTTTATAATCCAAAGCCAGATGCACAGAGTGGGCTAAGAAGAGGTTGCAAGCTTGCAACAGGAAGTCTGGACAGTCCCTCCAGGTAGTAGCTGTGAAGGAAGTACCTGTGTCTCAGAAACTTGTATACACATGTTCTTGACACTTTTGCATCCAGGCCTATTTACAAAGTTATGCATTTTGCAAGCTCAAAGCACCTTCCTCCGCATAAGCATGAACACAGGCAGTGACATTTCATCCCTTCATGTGCAAATCCTAAAATTCATGATAATGTAAAATTTAAAACCGGAAAATCTGCCTCCAGTTCGAAATGAAAGGATCAGAAATGTCAGACATTGCAGATCACTGGTTCCTAACAGAGTTCTTTATTTGCTCGCTGTCCTTGACTCTGTTCTGTTTGTTACAAAATGCAGTCTTGACTCTTTATTTAAACAGTACTTAAACTAAACTGTTCATGCCATGCAAAAATAACATCTTATGCACTGTTTTTTTGGGGAGAGGGGTTTCCCATATTTTAGTTCACGGCATTATCGATCGCATTTTTAAGAAACAAGTTTTTTATTGCTTTTATAACTAGTCACATGCTGGTCTCACGAGTGGGACAGTAACCTGTGTCTCCTGGGTTGGAATGAATCTCTGGGGCAAACAAGTGGTTCTCCATCTTGTACCCTTCTTGACTACTGTCCTTTTTGACTTCACCCACAGCCTGGTAAATGTCTTGCCTACAGTTGTGGTCTGTGTTCTGAGGGGAGGAAGAACCCACACAGCCCTCTTCTCTTAAAGGGTCTCTGGCATCGCTAGGCTTATCTGCTAAGCAGTTGGGGCTGGAGTCTGCTTGCTTGTCTGGTCTTGACCTTTGGAGGTCCAAGAAGTCTTCGTCTTCTCCAGTGTCTATTTCAGTGAAGCTCCTTCTTTCTCTAGAAGAGAAAGGAAACAGTTTTTGCTTGGGAAATCGGGGGGATAGCCCTTTGGAAGGTCCCTGACAGTGTGCTGAAACATCAGCACTCAGCAAGGGTCTCTCTCCCTGGGGGAGGGCTTCTTCTAGAAGGATGGTACTGATGTGCTGAGGGGTGGTGAGCGGAAATTCAGCTGTGGTTACTGGCAGTGGCCTGGCTGTGCTGGGTGGAGTCTGGGGTGCACTACCTCTATTTTCCTGAAAGTTCACTTTGAGGGATCTGGACTTGAGGGGGTTGCTCCCTTTCAGCGAGCTCTTAGGGCTGTCAGCGGCACTGTCAGGTTGCAGAGGACCAAGGGAAGTCCCAGCGTCGAGGTTCACAGTTCTATCAATTGGGGCATAATCCAGTGTGGCCTCCCTGGCAGCAGGCCCCTTATCTCTGCTTAGCAATAGAAATGGAAGCGCCCTGACTCTTTGGTGCTCTTCTGTTCCTGGGAGGTCAGTGGGGAACTTCATCTGCAAATGAGAGGCAGAGGGTGGGGGCAGGGGCGATCTCTCTGTCTCTGTGAAGTCAGTGGCACAGCTGGTGAAGCTGTCGATGCTGGAGGTGCTCTTCATGTCCACGATGACCTCGGTCTGTGCCACAGCCAGCTGCTCGTGCGGGCAGACCACCTCTTCCATTTCTATCTCCTCTTCGTAAGCAGATGGCCTCTCGGGCTGTTCTTGGCAGTCCGGGTTTGGGTGGGGATGAGGCTGTGTCTTGGTGATTTCATTGTATAGCATCTCCAGTTTCTGGGCACTCAGATGCTGTGGGCTGGAGGAAGAAGTGTTGTTCAGCTGTTCGTGGGAGTCCTTTTGGCTAACCTCCTGGTACTTATTCTCGTAAGACTTATTGGAGCTTGTTTCCGACAGAGCTTTCCTGGCCCACTTCCACCGGCTTGGAGACAGGTGATTGTCATCCACTGAGTCCTTGGTATTGGCTGACTCTCCGGCCTTCTCCACAGCCACGTCTATCAGCTCCATACTTCGAGCAAAGGCATCTTTTAAGTTCATAGAAACGATGCTGCCATTCCTTTTGGCTCTTTCAAGAGCCTCTCTCCTTTTAATAGCTTTCTCCTGGCGTTTTTGCTCCTTATAGAACTCAGAAAAATTGTTCACAATGATGGGTATAGGAAGGGCAATTACCAGGACTCCTGCAATACAGCAGAGGCCACCCACAATTTTCCCTAACAGTGTTTTAGGGTAAATGTCACCATAGCCCACAGTGGTCATGGTAATGGTGGCCCACCAAAATGATGCAGGGATACTGGTGAATTTGGTAGCATCTTCATCTTTCTCAGCAAAAAACACCAAGCTGGAAAATATCATTATCCCCATAGCCAGAAATAATATTAATAAGCCCAGCTCATTGTAACTCCGCCTGAGGGTGAAGCCCAGAGACTGCAGGCCAGTCGAGTGTCTGGCGAGTTTCAGGATCCTGAGGATACGCATGATTCGGAAGATCTGGACCACACGCCTCACGTTCTGGAATTGCAACACACTTTTGTTGGACTCTGTGAGAAAGATGGTGACATAATATGGTAAGATGGCCAGTAGGTCAATGACATTCAGGGGGCCTTTAAAGAATTTCCATTTATTTGGTGACGACAGGAATCGTAAAAGGTACTCCATGGTAAACCAAGCAATGCACACAGCCTCGACGTGCGCCAACTTGCGGTTGTCACTGGGTTGCCCAAATTCATCATTTTCCTGCAGCTCCGGAAGTGTGTTGAGAGACAGAGCAATGGTCGAAAGTACGATGAACAGGATAGACACGATGGCCAGGATCTGGAAAGGAGAAGGAGGTCCACATTAGCAAATCCTCTTTGTTTCTCTGGCAACCACACACGCATCGGTGGTTCTCGGAATGAGAGAATGATCTCAGTTATTCCAGAAAGGTTTTACGAAGGTCACTTTACAACCTAGAGCTCACTAAGGAATACAGATACTTTGCGAGTTAATTATGCTTAACAGTCTCATACACATTTTGATTTTAGCAATTTGACCATACCTGAATTCTCTCTAGTTGCCACTGCCCAAGGCACATTTGTGTGGGTTAACCAACATTGGCATGAGGACTCCATATAGTTGGCGCACTTTCTTGGGGGTGGTAATCTCTTCCCTCTTAGGTAGCTGAACTTTTGCTTTCTTAATCACCTGATTTGTATTTGATTGTGTGAATTATATTACACGCCACTTAAGCTTGATAGAGAATCTCAAAGATTACTTCTACAGCTATGCATACTGATGCAAACACCAGATGTGAAGAGGAGAGGCCATACTCCTCATAAGAACAAATACTTCTCAGGTGGTCAGCATTGACATGAGAAGCAACTTGGGATAGCCTTTGTCTGGAGTGCAGATTTCTGGCCAGTATCACTTGGGTGAGGAAGATTATGGGCTAATTTCATTCAGGAAGAGGGTTTTCATGAAGACTCTGAAGACCAGATAGATGCCATTACAGGACAGGCAGATGCTCCAGGCTAAGGAAAGGGCAAAACAAAGGCAAGGAGGAGGATGGCATCACAAAGAAGTAAGAGGGGGATTTAGTGACTGAATTTTGGAGTCTGCAGTCTAAGTTCTGATACTAGCTACGACACTTTCTGTGAGACCATGATCAGATTATGTAACTTTTCTGTGTCTTCATTTACAAGTATGTGAAATGCTTGCAGTGTTCATAGCTATTTCACGGTTTCTATAACAATTGCATAGTATGCAGATATTGCTAAGTAGATAAAAACGAGATCCAGATTGTTGACCCAGGACTTTGGTGTAGCAACACAAAGATCAAGAAAGGGTGTGTGGGAAATCTGTAAATCCATACAAAATATAGACAATGCAAAGGGGGATTTCCTGATTCCAACTCAGTGTACTTGACTCATGGGGGTATATCAAAGATTAAAGTTAGAGAGCAATGCAGGGGTATACATCTTTGCTTAGAAAAAATCTGTACATGTGGGGTACATAATTCTTGGTGGAGTAGGCAACACTCTTTGCCTATTTGGGCCCATCTTGGTTTGGTCTGTCCTTTATCTATGACCTCGTGTGAATGAAAGCCTAGCATGAAGAAGTAATTCCTTAAACTGATGCCCTCTGACCTTGACAGGTGTTATTAGTTGACAGTTTTTGTACCTAGCTCTGAGAACCAGATAGTGACTGTTTTACATAGAGACTCAGCATCTAGGTAAAATTTCAAAGCACAATGACTAAAGGTCTTGAGGCCATAGCTCAATACTTACTGGATTGTGAAAACTTAGTGTGTTAGGACTTCTGAATTCTTTCCCTCCCTCCCCCTGTAGTGATATATTGTTTATGATTTATTAAACTTTGTCTGAAGATTCAGAAAGCAAAGTCAGCCACAAAACATAGAAGCCAGGCATACACCTTTAATCCTAGCATCCAGAAACTAGGAGGTGGTGGTGCACACCTTTAATCCTAGGACTCAGGATTACGAGATAGACGGATGTCTGCGAGTCCAAAGTGACCAAGATCTAAAAGAGAACTATAGCTCACACCTTTAACCCCAATATTATGGAAGTATATAAGACAGAAGCAAGTTCTCAGTAGAGGATTTATTCTCCAGCCACACTGAAGATAGGCATTCATTCTCCAGCCATTCTGAGGAAAGGTTACAGTCTGAGGCTTGGTGAGAGTTTGTGGAGACAGCCTGAGGTAGAGGTAAGAAGCTAGTGACCAGCTTCTTTGCTTTTCTAATATTCAGCTTGAAGCTTGAACCCCAATATCATATCAGTCTCTGGGTCATTTACTTATTTATGTTATACCTCTCTCTCTCTCTCTCTCTCTCTCTCTCTCTGTGTGTGTGTGTGTGATGTGTGTGAAGGTGTCCATTTGCTAACGTCCATGTATGGTGGTCAGAGGACAACCGCAGATGGACAGATGCCCATCCTCACCTTCCATATTTCTTGCTATGGATCTTTTTGTTGATTTTCTGACATGTACATTACACTATCTGACTGAGAGATCCTGGGGGAGTCCTGCCTCTGCTCCCCATCTCCCTGTAGGAGTGCTGGGATTACAGATGCTTATGCTGGGCACCCAGATTCCGAATGGCTTCTGCAAATGTGAATTCGGGTCCTTATGCTGCATGCCAAGTGCTTTTACCCATGGAGCCGTCTTTCTAGCCTGTGGTTTCTCCCCTTTATGTCTGTAAGCTACTCTGCTTTTGGGTTATTCTCTTTTCCTTACTCCTAGGCTTCATTTGTATCTTTTATTGTTTCTCTTTCTGTTCTTCAGTCCCCAATTTTACTCTTCACTTGTTATAAAGAAAATCATAAGAGCATAAGGCATTTCAGAATGTCTTATGGATACTAAAAAAAAAAGATGTGTGCTTCTTCAACTCCAAGAATGGTACTCCAGTAGTAGGGTTTTGTTTTTCCTTTGGTTTTTGCTTTCCCCTAGGATCAGGTTATGTATTGCTTCTTGAGTGTACTTCAGAATTTCCTATCAAAAAGGTGGGGCAGTTGCCCTGGAGATATGGCTCAGTGGTCAAGAATACTTCTGCTCTTGCCCAAGACCTGAGTTTCCTTTCCTGCTCCCACATCAGGTGTTCACAGCTATCTATAACTCCAGTTTTAGCTCCAGATCCAGGGGACCTGATACTCCCATCTGGCTTCTGAGGGTTCCCCTCCTACATATACACACATGTACATAAATAAAAATAAATACAGAGGGGACAGGTGAGGTCAAGGAAACAGTGTCTTCCAAACACAGCATAACTGACACATGCATGATCTCATCGAGAATGTAGTAGCATGTATAGGGCCGGCATAGGTTCAAGCCAAAAAGCGATACTGACATGGGGAAGTGGACATGAGCTCCTATTCCTAACTAAGATGTTATCTTCAATTGACAACTATTTACAAAGGAGTAATCAACCTCACTGGGCATATAAGCCACACTTAAGGGCCACCCCCATGCCTAACAGATTTTTTTTGTAGATTTTTTTGTCTCATATTGGTTTGTTTGGCTTTTTTTTTTTTTGGTTTTATGAGACAGGGTTTCTCTGTATTGTTTTGGAGGCTGTCGGTCCAGCCCGGCCTTGAACTTACAGAGATCCGCTTGCCTCTGCCTCCCTAGTGCTGGGATTAAAGGCGTGCGCCACCACCGCCTGGCTTGTTTGGCATTTTTATCCCAATGGAATTTTGTTTGTATACAATAGTTTTCAGTTTTGTGTTTTTATGTTTATGTGTATGTTTCTTATATTTTTTGCTCTTTCGTTTCTGGTTTGTTTACTTGTTTCTTTTCTAAAGACAGAGGGAGAAAGAAGACATGGAGTTGGATATGTGGTGAGGTGAGGAGGATCTAGGAAGAGATGGGGAAAGGCAAACTATGATCAAAATATACTGTATGAATTTTCACTATAAATAAATGCACTAATTAAATATTTTTTAAAGGCGGACCAGTGAATCCCCATAGGTCCAGTTGTCTTCATCTATCCTAAAAGGCTTATGGAGGCTGAAGTAGAAACACCTTAAGAATGCTTATTTAGATGAGTCCGTGGATGACAGATTGTTTATTAGAGACAAGTTAGGAATGTTCACCTAGAATCTCTTCCTTCATCGGGCAATGACAGGACAACACTTAAACTATTCCTTTTCTGAAGTCACTGGTCACCCTTACCTGATCTTTTGCTCTAACATAAGAAGCCAGGTCTACAGTTCTTAGGAGGCTATTCTTAATAACATACTTTTAACTTTCTTTTTAAAGACAGGGTCCCAGTATATAGCAGAGGCTGGCCTTGAATTCACTGTATAGTCCAGGCTGGCTTCATACTTCTGAACTTCCTGCCTCTGATTCCCACAGACATATGCCACTGTACCCATCTCCAAACATTTTAATATTGGGATTTCTTCTACCATTCTTGTACAAATATCCATACTCTAGATTTCCACATTGAATCTCTTCCCATAACCATGTCTGATACATTTTACTGATATTTGTCAGTTCAGAGGGAAAGAAGAAAAGCAGAAATGCAAATGAATCCAACCCATTATTATTATTTTTTATTTAAATTAGAAACATGGATGATTCACATGTCAATCCCAGCTCCCTCTCCCACCCCTTTTCCCTTGTCCCTCCACCAGCTCCCAGCCCCCCATCCAATCCCCACATCATTCCCCAGGGAGGGTGAGGCCCTCCTTGGGGGGATCTCCAGAGTCTGTCATCACATCCAGGGCAGGACCTAGGCCCTTCCCCATGTATCCAGGCTGAGAGAGCATCCCTCTATTTGGAATGCATCCCATTATTTTTAAACTCTTGGAGAGGCTATCTTAAATGCCCTTCCCCTGTAATGAAATTGATGACTACCTTAAATACCATCACCCAGTAGCTGATGGAAGCAGAAGGAGAGACTCCACTTAAGCACTGAGCTGAATTCCTGGAATTCAGTTGTAGAGAGGGAGGAGTGATGAGCAAAGGGGTCAAGACCACTCTGGGGGGGGGAACCCACAGAAACAGCTGACCTGAGCAAGTGGGAGCAAGTCTGACAGCTGGGGAACCAATATAGGACCGAACCAGGCCCCCTGAAAGTGGATGTCAGTTGGGGGCATGGGTAGTCTATGGGGTCTCTGGCGGTGGAACCAGTATTTATTCCTAGTGTATGAATTGACTTTTTGGAGCCCATTCTCTATTGATGGATACTCTCTCAGCCTAGATACATGGGGGAGGGCCTCAGTCCTGCCCCAAATGATGTGACAGACTTTGATGATTATTCCCCCATGGGAGGCCTCACCCTCCCTGACAAGTGGATGGGGGTGGGATGGGGGTGG